AAAATCAATTTTTTTTGTTAATACAGTAGATAAATGAACGATGGTGCTTGATGGCTAATCTGTGCTTGCATAGCTTTTTTTAAACCAATATTACGAAAATCGGTCGGGTAGAAGAGCCAAACGAACTCGGAAAAGAAAAACCAAATTTAACTCCCATAAGAAATGTACAGGACGGAAGCTGCTTTCGTGCATAACTCTAAATATAGGTGCGCCAGTTAAATAAATGCCGATGCTTGATGGAAATTCTCTACGTCCATACCTTTAATTTTAGACCAAAATTATGGAAATTGGTCTGGTAGAAAAGCCAAGCCGACTGTGAAAAGAAAAGCCAATAATTCATTGTCTATACAATAAGTTGAATATAATTTAAGTAAATAATTTATTTATCGATATAAATAAAATATAACCTTCAATTAAATTGAACTTAATAACTATTCTAGTTTAATTGGATTACAATGACTTGGATCTGTTACACTGTTCTTATTTTTAAATGTATTGATAAATAAATAGTATCAGCAATATGACACAAACTTTCTCTCATAAGCTTTAGACAATCTTTATCATGGACAAGAGGTGGAAGAAACTATGATATTTTATACAGGGAAAAATCACAAAAGTTTCAATAACTTTTGAACCGTAATTGTTACACCAATGGGGGTAACAATATTTTGTTTACAAGGACCACAACACATTAATTTTATAAAATCCGTTTTTTCCTGAAATCAGATTTTTTTTATTTTATGGTTTTTGTGGGAAAATCGCATAAGTTACAATAACTTTTGAACCGTATTTTTTCGGAAATAGGATTTGTAACTATTTTGTTCAGAATTTAAAGAACTATGACATAAATAAAATTTAATCAAAATCGTTCAGGCAATTTTCGAGAAAATCTAATTTTTCCCCATTGAAGAAATCCCAATTAAAAAACAAAATTTAAAAATAAATGCCTGGAGATATCATGTTTTTTTTTTTTTTTTATTTCATGGGTTTTATGGGGAAATAACAGCAGAAGTTACAATAACTTTGGAACCGTTATTTTACGGATATGGGATTTGTACCATTTTGTTCAAAATTCAAAGGACTATAACATACATTTTTTATCAAAATAGTTATGGACATTTTCCGTATTTTATGGGGAAATCACCATTAAAAATATATTAATCCACATCAAGTTTTTAAATTTTGTAACTTAATAAATGTATCTTGATGCTGAATTTTGTAACTTAATGAATGTTTCTTGATGCTGTCTGGGTACGATTTATGAACTTTAAGCCTTATAATGGAAAAAAATACTACTAAACCACTAGTTGGGTAAACGATCAAAAATTCGTAAATCAGAACTGTAAACTTTATCAGCGACATACTTTCTTATCGCTTTCTCAGAAGTATTTATCGTTTCTTTTAAACTATTTTACACTTAAACATTCATAAACGTTTAATTATTGGCGTAGGTAACTTAAAACATGCTACCAAGAATATTCCAAACGAATTAATCAAAAATGATAAATAAGGAGTGGATATTTGTTCATTCAATTGTAACTTGAGCAACCAATATAAAAAAACGCTATGTTGATAACAATAAATAGTCCTACGCCTTTTTTTTACCACCAATCTTACTACTATTTCGTCGGAAAATCCAAGGACAGAAGTTAATAATTCAATTTGCATGAGGTAAGTTGACTCAACACGGATTATGAATCCATTACATTAACAAGACCTTTGATAGCTTGAGGTTGTTTCTGTTTGCAACTCACTAAATTCAGATTTCATGAGTTTGAAAGGGTTTCAAATCAATTTGCAAATATGCTATCAGTTGATTATTGCCATCATAAAAATGTATTTAATTTGGTTTAAACTTATAATTAGATTAGAACCAAGATTGGAGAGATAGTAATGATATTTATAACGATATAAGTATTTATATTAATAACTTCAGTAAGTCTTTGATTTAAAAAGCAGTGAAGTCTTTTCAATTACAAATTCTACAATGATCATAGAAATGGTAGCGATAAAATAGAACTTATTACTTTCCACATAAATTAAGAGAAGCGAATTAATTATATGTTTTGTTTTACGGACGAAGTTATATAGACTGTTCAGTAGTGTATTTTATTTAGATTCTGATCTTTAAGTTATTCAATGACGGTTTGAATGTACAGACAACGAGGCCATGTCATTTGGTGAGTCTTTGGGTCGGTAGCACCACGAACTTTGGGCTCAAGGTAGTGGGTTCGGATCTTGGTACCTGTCACTTATTTTTAAGTAGTACTTTTTGTACACTCTCCATATACTATGTATTGGAGGGGGGGGGAGGTAAAATAATTAACCGACCTTAGAAAAACAAAAAAAGAAGATAGTAGAAGAAGAATTTAAGCTTCTTTAAAGGATGGTTTCATTTATTTTCCTAAAGGGAAAGCTGTTATTATTATCTGGAAGGGAATTAAAATTGTCCAAAAAAGGATAAAACAGATTTTAACTAACTAACTGCCAATCAACAATGGATTTTACCTACTTTATAATACCACAACCCTTTAGACCTAACCAAAGTAATGTGGCAAAACAATCCTGAGCTAGAGGCTAGTAAAAAAAATAGCTACGTCTGTCCGTTTTTGTTCCAACAAAGTCCTTAAAACATCTTAAACTCAATTGTAAATAGACCGACTTGAATAAAATAAAATCGAAATAGTTGACTTAGTCTTCATATGCTCTCTGCAGTATCATGTACGAGGCAAGCTATGCGTGTTGTATTATCTGAGGTTGATATTAAACAGTGTCATTATTTTAGCCATCTGCTGTGAGCTATCAATAGAGCAAGCAAGATAAACACTAGAGCAGCAACAGCACTTACTGCCTCTAGTCTACAAGTACACCTGAAACCACCCACTGTAGAACTTACATTGTATATATTCAAAACTTTAACTTTTTCAAGGGCTAAGTTGCTATGAAAAAATCAATATCTATGACACTGTTTTCCAGAATTACAGGTAATGAATAAGATCTAAACACATATTATGTACTATATTATATACTGTATTACAATTATTGCCCTGAAAACTATATATGTTTAGTTAGATTGGGCCATTTTGTGATTAATACGGCAACAGCATAATGTTTTATGTGCAATAATTCCGTGACATCCAAAACGTTGCATACATTACGAAAACTACTAGAGACGTCTTTTAATGATTTGTAAAAATTTTGTGAATGTTATCTCCCTTTTAAAATTTTACAAAGCTGCTTTCACAAGTAACAAGTCGGTGTGTTTTAACTTTGCTTTTTAACTAATCTAAGCTTTTTTTTAACTAATAGAAAAAGAAAATTATTTCAAATTCAACTTGTATTTATTTGAAAACAAATTCAAAATTTTTACGAAAAAATTCAGGATTTATGTGTGAAAACTAACTTTTTGAGTACATTAGTAGGGATAAGCTATATGAAACGACAAAAGTAAGAAGAAGAAAAAAAAGAAGAAGACATAACAACGGAAATCTCGAAATAATGAATTTCGACAAATAACGAGCAGGATAAATAACAACACAATAGGTTCCAAGCAACAATAACAATTTGAACAGGATAAACTAGCAAACAATGTTGTGGAAAAAAACAGAACAAGGAACCAATTAATTGAAGTAGCCAACTGTAATTTATGAAGGATAAACATTAACGTTTTTAAAAATTGCCTTCAACATTTGTTTTACACCACACCTGTAGTCCAATTTTGATGAAATTTGGTATGTAGATACTAATCCATGGTATATCCAGACGTTTATTTTTATTTTTTGAAATTTAGATCTTTAATGGCGATTTTCCCATAAAATTATGGAAAATAGCCCTAACAATTTTAATAAAAATATTTACGTTATATTCTTTTAAATTTCGATCAAAATGGTACAAATCCCATATCCGTAAAAATTACGGTTCCAAAGTTATTGTAACTTATGTTATTTCCCATAAAACCCATAAAATAATAAAAATACATGGTCCAGGCGATTGTTTTTTTAATTTAGATTTTTAATGGGGTTTTCCCCATTAAAACTTATAAAATAATGGAAAAATTGTATTTCTTCGAAAATAGCCTGAACGATTTTGATACAATTCTAATTTGTTATAGCCCTTTAAATTCTGAACGAAATAGTTACAAATCCCATTTCCGTAAAAATATTGTTCAAAAGTTATAGTAACTTATGCTATTTTCCCATTTAAAAAAAATCGGATTTCAGGTAAAACCCGGATTTCATTAAAATTAATGTGTTATGGTCCTTATAACTATTCTAAACAAAATAGTGCTACCCCCATCGTTGTAACAATTACGGTTCAAAAGTTATTGAAACTTTTGTGATTTTTCCTTGTAATATATCATAGTTATGTCCAGTGCTTACCCATGGAGAAAGTATGTGTCAGATTGCTGATAACCGTTTAAGTTGCTGTGTTTTAGCATTATGCGTGTTTGAAATATTGCTCATAATGTAACTAACATTCCTGATGATTTGATGGGGAAAGCTTCAGAGGTAACACCTTCCACCACAGAAATCCAGGAAGAATATAAAGAGCAATATATACTAGTTGTATATATATATATATATATATATATATATATATATATAACTAATTACCAACTAATAACTAATTCCTAACTATTTTGTTCGCTGTGAAAGTTTACGAACTGGTACACATTACAAAATGTTAAACCAAATAAAGTAAATATATTTATCTAAAAAAATCTATAATCCCGAAACTATATACGTTGTGAAGTAGATTTTCAATTATAAAGCGTGGTCTAACCTATTATAATACTAATTAGGTCTTTTAGTAATAAGGATTGTGTGTATTTTCGCGTCTTGATTAGGAGTATCGTTCGTACCGAAAGTTATTTTCCACCACTTGCTCTATTATTCCCGTGAAATTTGGTTTTCATGTGTTCGGCTTTGCCTCACACATGTAACTTAAGCGCGTGCCGGAAAAGTCACTTTCGGCCCTAGTGATAGTATTGCATGTTTCAGAGGACGGTGTGATGGAGGGAAGTTTCAACCACTCAGTGACTGAGACTTTACAGTTACCCGCAAAGCGAGACCCTCTCTACATCGTCATCCCCATCACCATCGCCTACTCGATCATCTTCTTCTCCGGAGTCACTGGGAACATCGTCACCTGTATTGTCATTGCAAGAAACAAGCATATGCACACAGCGACCAACTACTATCTCTTCAGCCTCGCTATTTCCGACTTACTTCTTCTTGTTTCCGGTCTTCCTCAGGAGATGTATTCGATCTGGTCAAGGTGGGACTTATGCACTTCTTAGTTGAATGGTGTATGATGGAACTTGTCCCCTGACCGTCTATCTGGGGATTGGCCAATTGTAAGGCTCAGGCCAGCCCCAGGTGGAGGGTTAGGGGACAGGATCAATTATATGGACTATTGTTATTATATTCATTGTAATCATACTTATTATTAGTACTCTTCTAGTTTATAAAAAAAAATAAGAAAATTACCCAAATATTTAACATTAGTTATCTTGATAAAGCGTTGTTGTATTAAGAGAGAGATTGTTTGTATAGAAGATTTTAATCATGTATGTAAGTGGCTTTCTCTCGCCACGGACACATTTAAATATAGTATTTTTGTAACATCATGTTTTAAGATAAATACTATACCATCCAACACAGAGACTTAGTAATGCAAAAAATTATAATTTTGTTTACATCCCTTAAATGTTTCTTATAATAATTAGTTATTAATGATTTCTTATTGGAATTATCTAATGAGGAGCTTTTTGCTCTTCAACACATTCTCTTGAGTAAAACGTACATTGTATCGTTCTAAATCATGTATTCTATAATGTTTAAACTATGAATAGAGTTTGCTGAAATACAAGTTAACGTAATTTAGGATAATCTTGTAAATTATTATTTAACTAAATCCATCCTGGATTGCCAGCTTTTGAAAACTTAATATTGAGATTTAGTCGTTATATAACAACGCACGTAAAGAAATTACAATGGATATTTCTGTTTAACTCCTGACATGATAAAGCTTGCTCTTTACAATTAATAGGTTGCAGAGACCAGCATTCAAAGCTCTCCAGTTACCTTTTCATTACAATGGTCTATTTTAGCCTCAGGATGCACACCATTTCCCTGACAACAATGGAGACTGCATATCTTGTTCTTTTCACAGATCCGAATCATTTATGTAGTTTACCAAACAAGATTACCTCATTGCATTAATTTAGTAACCTAATATTGAAGACATCAAGTTGAGGAGATTAAAGGGTTCTCTAGCATATTTGGAAAAGCGTTCTTTTTGAATTTTCTTCCAACAAAGCTTAATTGACTTTAGATGCACGTGATTTAAGCATATCTCATACTCATAACAGTTTTATGGACCTATAACTCCCTATTATTTTATTTAATCTCTAAACAGGGTGTCCCGTAAGTAAGTACTAAAATTAAGATTTAGATTAAAATATTTTTTATCGTACAGTCCAGGCAAAATAAGAAAAGCTGGTTATGCGCCTCATTTAACGCTTGAAAATCATGATTCCTCAGATAGGCTATTTTATTATTAGATTTTATTTTACTTGGTGTTGTTTGATAGATTATTTTAAATACTACAGTAGCCTTAATATTTTTCATTAAATTAGCCATACCAATTAGTTAAAAAAAAAAATTGAAATACCTACCATTTTGAAACCAACATATGTTTCTTAGTATTTAGTTCTGTTTTCCAAAATGTTTGTGGCTCCTTAAAACCGTACACCAAATGGCATAAAAGATATGTTAACAGTTTTTAAGATATAAAATTAAAACAAAAAGCAAATTGGTAGATAACACAATTAATAAGGTGTAAAAAAAAATCTTTATTATTGATTTTCGTAATTTTTTTTATTTTGATCATTCCCAATTTAGTTAGAATATCTTACAGGACACCCTGTATATTCTAATGGAACATATAGCCAAGTGTGATTCCCTAGGTATCCCTACGTGTTCGGAGAAGTGTTCTGCGTGTTGCGAGGATTAGCAGCAGAGACGTCAGCCAACGCTACTGTTCTCACCATCACAGCATTTACTGTAGAGAGATACGTAGCCATCTGCCACCCCTTCTACTCACACACCCTCAGCAAGCTGTCCAGGGCCGTGAGACTGATCCTTGTCATATGGGCTGTGGCCTTGACATTCGCCATTCCTCAGGTAACGTATGACAGTAGCTTACTTTAATTGTTGTTTAGTTGTGGAACACACTAGGAATAGTATCTTTGAGGTACTAGACTTTCACCTCCCATTTTGAAGCTGAAATCAGTTATAGAATGGAAAGGTGTGGAGCTATCGAAGTATCACGTTGATGTTTAATACTCACGATGAGACCCAAATGCAAATTGTGTATTATGATAGTATTTCAGTCTCCGATGTATAACGAATAATGCAATATCATTCAAAGGTAACTTTTAAGATGAAAAATACAGACCCAAGATAAAATAAAAATTTAAGGCTTAAAGGTTATTGCCTTTTTAATTATAATTCGTCCACTGGATCAATCTTTAAAATAACACCTCAATCGTATAAATTGGTTGAAAAGGGATGTAACAGGAGAACCCACATTGTAATAAGTAAATATATAGATAGATAGATGGTGTGTGGCTACATTGAAATTATATTCCAATTCATTTAAGGTTTTGGAGTTATTATAGTTTTTGAAATGCTTACATAGTGAAGATGTTTAACGAAGCTAAATACTGTTTTGTTGTTATCTAAGTTTAACATTCTTATGGCTCTTTTTTGTAAAACAAATAAACTATCTACATTTTGAATGGTCACTGAAACATATAGTTCATCATTTAATTTAATATGCGAGTTTGTGTGATCGTAATAAAATTTTGTCATCACAAAACACCAACATAACTTAGTAGCCTAAAATTATTCTGTAAATACTATTCAGCCAATTATAGTTTCCTATCCGTTCACCTGCAAGTAAATAGTGATATATTTACTTGTTTTCGTTATTTACTAAACAGAAGGTGTACTAGTTGATTATATGTTACGTGTGAAATGGTATGTTATTGACATAAAAAGAGTGTACGATTTAAAACAAATCTCATGCAAAAATCAGATCAAATTTCACGCCTGGCATAACATATTTTAAGATTAGTTTTTTAATTTTTTATTTTTTGTTAATGTTTTTGCATTGGATTTGTTTCTAGCTTAGCGTATCTGACTTATATTTAACCCATTTAGCAATTTTCTGATGTTTCAGAGCAAACATATTGCACCATGCTGAACAAATTAATTGAACAAATTGTAGTGATATCAGTACATTCTTAGAACTGAGTTTTTTGTATGTGTTCCACGATAAAAGTGTCTTTGGTTTCTAACACCTTTGGTTTTGATCACACTGTTGATTAAATTGTGAGATCCTTACTTCTACCACACGCATCCTTTTACTCATACAGAACATTTATTTGACTGCAGGATTTTACAATATTTCTGCAAAGTAACTTTTACAATGTGATTATTTCCATGCTATGGAAGGAAAACATATAATATTTCCTTCAGACTATATCATTGGCCTTGACTCCAAATTGTCCGTGATTACACGATAATATACTGAAGCTTGTAATAGGTGGGAATAAAATCAAAATTGGTTGGTTATTTTGTTGTAAACACGCGGATGTCCTAACATTTACACTAACAGAAAAGGTAATGTAGTATAGTAACTACCTAAGCTATCACTAGTTGTATGAAACTACCATAATTTTCAATAGTTAGGTGATAACCTTACTAATGGGACTGGAAGTTTGTACCTGTCAATCAGCGATGCTAACGTTAGAGATTGGAATTAAACTTATTCATCAAAGGCGGTACAAACCAGATTCTGGTATGGCATAATTAGTCTATTGCTTGTCTATATATTGATACGCAAGCAGTTTTCTTTTCACAGTTATAACTCAACTAGCTGTATCCGCGGGCTTTGCCCCGTTTAACTTCATAAGTGAGCTCGTTCGCATGGCTCAATTACGTCCTGGTTGAAGTTTGTTCGCTACGCTCACTCACCTTTTGGTTGCAAATTAGCTGTTGTCATAAATGTAAAAGAAATAATAGTGCTGCACCCTGATGGTAATCCTTGTAACTTAAATGCTATTGAACATCATAGAACCATAGAACAGAACCAACTTGTTTAATTGAAACAGCTGTTAAGATTCATTAATTCCATTTAAATATGAGTACTCATAAGGTTAACATGGGAAACTGCAGAGCCACTGGGGTGCACCACTTAAGTACACTTAAGGGCTAAAGTTTGGAAGGCAGCGCTATGTGTTGACATTTGATCAAACTCATTTCCCTTTGTTTACAAATAACATATGGACGTAGTTTGAAATATTTTTTTAAGGTTAACCACAGACTGGAGGACTCAAAACTTTCAGAGAAAAGCTGGAATTTATATTTTGTTTCAATCTGTTTACTAAGTCTGGTTCATAATGAAGAGTTTCCTATCAATACTAGACAACAAAGTGTTTAAGAATAAATATTTAATTTTTTTTTTCTATGGTTAATTTGATTTACCTTACATCGTATTTTACTGATTATAATGTAGTTACAGTTTGATGTGATGAAATGAATGTTTAAAAGTGATTATTCACAGGGCAGTTACCCGTTACATTACCATATTATCATGTAATTACAATGTGTATCAAAATTCCAATTCCTTTATAGTGTTTTCTGTTGTTTGGTTAACTTTCTTATTTCATTTCAATTAAAAATCAAATGCCGCCAGTAGGACGAAGAACTGTGAGTGGCTGGAGGGAACGCGAACATGACCGCTTGCATCAACCTCTCAATTGAACGATGGGTACATAGTGGTAGTACCACCGTTGTGATAGTCCAATCACGGACAAATGAACGTGAAATGTTTACATTGTAGTGGCTTACATATTTTTAAGCAAGAAAAGACTGGCCGAGACAGTTAAGTTTGTACTCTTTGTTGCCATAAATGAAAGGTTTGTTTACCTCATTTGTGCAATTCACCATACCTTCAGGTTCTTATTGGCAACTCCCAATCTGAAAATAGGACTGTGAGACTTATATCCTGAAATTATTTGGATAAAGTTCGTCAATTCAATTCTCCATTACCATAGTCAGCTCCGAAGCTCAGAGAAAGTTCCACAGGGGATCTACAATATTAAGATCCGTGACACGTTTTACCACCGAGTGGGTCCTCTTATTCCTCAAGAAGGTGATGACCCTGAATACGCACAGATATATAAGTAACTACGACAATTTCACTAGAACCCAAAGGAGAATCACGCACAATTCAATAAAAAATTCAATGAAAAAATATGCGGGAAATAGGGTCACAATGCCAACCCATTTGCAAATCTTTGAAGACTCTGGCAGACATTATGTAGGGACGAGAGCTCCGAGGAGTCAAGTGAGATTCTTATGTACATAATAAGAGACAGAAGAAGTGTCTTTCCTCGCTACAATGGTGCTACCTGTGTAGATTTCGCAGCAATTTTTAAAGCTGAAAACAAAGTACCACCTGGCCAAATAAATCGTATAGTTTTTTCCAACACTAATAATGTTAAACGCGTATCCATTCTAGATCTGTCGTGATCACTTGCTTACCCTCTTATGTTCCCAACCGGAGACTTGAGTTGGGGCCCCTAATTTAAACACGCCTAAAAAAAGAACACATCAAAGAAATAATTTAACAATGCTAGAATAAGAGTAGCGATGGTTGGCGTCAAGAGAGGAATTGAGTTACATTATGTCAAAAAGCTCACTTTACAGTGTGTGGTTGACATCTACGTGCTCATAGAGTGCACTCGCCTACTATACATAAGAGATAACCAAAGCAGTATGAGAGTGAATGTATTTTTAATATTGTAGATTACTTTCATATTTTTTGCATCATAATATTTTTATATTTCTATAATCAGCCATATAAATTATTTTAGAGTGACTCTTTGATTAAGGTCTTGCTGTTTATGTTTTTTGTTTATTTTTTAATACAAGTTTCAGTTTTGCTCGATTTTGAGCAACAGGTTATCTAGTTACAGATTAATCATTATATTATTTTTAACACTGCAATTACAAGTTTATATAATTTATTTTTGTAAAAAAATACAACCGACTTCAAATGCTCTAAAAAGAATGAAATAATTTCAATAAAGTAAACTTTTGTATTAGTCAAGCTCACGTATTTTAAGTCGGCGCGGCTCTATGATGATTTTTGATACAAAATTTAAAGAGGATGTCCACATTGCAGATGACTATCTATAACTAAAGTTGATTATAATCTTATAGTGGTATTAACAAGTATTTTTAAAAAGATTATAATGTATTTACATATTTCTAACTTGGAAAAGTAACGTTTTAATTTTAAACTAGCTTCTTTTCCCTATCATATTATCAAAATAAATAATTTTCCTATTCATATAGAACATTTGTGTGTGTTATTTTCACAATGCAATCATTCTGAAGTAAACATAAAATACAAGAAAATACTTCCTTTGATACATAAACAAATCAGTTCAGTATGTTTTTTATATAGTTATGTTATCCAGCGATAATTTATTGATTTTCAAAATACTCTCTCAATATCTTTCATTTTATTCATATTTTTGCAGTTAGAGCTGCGCCGACTTGAAATACGTGAGCTTGACTAATACAAAAGTTTACTTTATTGAAATTAGTTCATTCTTTTAGAGCATTTGAAGTCGGTTGTATATTTTTAAAAAAATAAACTATTTCATGATTTTTAGTGACGGTATAATTTGTTATGTATTAATTACTTGAAGTTTTTTTTAAAAGCAAAACTGTTTGAAACAATAAAAAGTGCCACAGAACAATCATTATTTTTAAACTGCTTGAGTCACCTGTTCAGGTTACATAATCAATGATTATTAAAAATTAACATTTTTGGATTTTCCAACAAAAAAAAACAATGAGTTGTCCATTACATTAGGCCTAATGAAAACTAAATGTCTTTCCTAGAGACATTGAAATGCCGGACATCATCGTTTCCTGCAATTGGTGTACTTCTACATTATAAAACGAAATACAGTAAGGTCCCAAGCCTTTTGGAACAATAAGAAAGTTATTCCTCAGCCACCAGCACTAACAACTCCTCTTAAAAGTAGAAAATTGTTTGATATCACGTACAGTTAATACCTTTGAAAAATATGTATATGATT